AATACTCGCGGAAGGATGGCGGAAGGGGCTTCGCGGAAGGGTAGTTTATGTAATGAAATTGCCAAAGAATAAAAACCAAAACTCAGTTGTTTTCAGACGTCGATATGTCATCTTGTCATCCGCCAAGCTAGTCAGCCCTCTGGCCTGTGTAGTTTTGCATTGTCTGACTTGTGCTCGAGTTTCCAAAAAAGTCCCCAGTCAACCAGACCTGCCACGTGCCCCTTGGCTCTAGTCTTTTCTGCGAAGCCACGCCGGCAAGGCCAGAATGGAATCCCTAGTCTATCGGGCCAGAACACAGATTAGTCTAGAGGGCCATGGCCCACAATAGGGGATCACAGTTCTGCTTTGTGCGTTGCGCAGACTATTCTCGTTCTGGAGCAGACCGGGGAGCCCTTGACACCTGACAGGGTTCTGGGACTACGAGGGGCTTGTGATTGATTTTTCGTTTGAGACTGGGTTGGACGGCATGGGGTCGGGGAGGGGAGGGGCCTAGGGATGCCTTCAGCCCTAAGTCTGTTCTGCGAACCGGCGCTGAGCAGGCCTCAAGGCAGGGCCGGAACAGCACCGTTGAGGCCAACATGCAGAATAGATGAAGCCCGGGAAGACTGGGTTATGAAGCACAATTGCTGGAAATTACTTGACAAACAGGCCAGACTCGCCGCGCTTTTGCAAAGGTGTGGTGGGTTGAAAGAAAATACTTTTCTCGACGCTTGCGCATGGTCTCAGCTTCTGCAACGACGCTTAACTTCTGCGACAACGCGTTTCAAGGGACTGCGTCAGGGGTGGCGGTAGGCGGGCCTTTGTCGAGCATGCGCTTTCAGATGTGACTTCGTAACAGTCATCGTTTAGCTTCAGGATCTTCATTTTGGCAGCGTGCAGGAACTGTCCACTGCAATAGGAGTTCCATCGCCGACGGTCCCCCTTCCCGTTGCAAAGAAAAAATGCGGTGGACTCCCAGAGGCCAAACTTAGGCCAGTATCTGCTTTCCACTGTTGGCAAGCATCATGGCGATTTCGCAAAGCGCAAAGCAAGAGCAGCACGTGTGCGAAAGCTCTGATGAGTTGAAGAACGTCCAAAAGGTAGAGATCAGGCTTTTTGCGCAATCTAGAATACAGATCTTCAATCAAGACTAATCTGAAAGATGGCTCATGCAAGTTCGAGGCCTCTTTTCCAAGCGGACACTGAAGAGATGAACAGAGGTACAGCAAAGCAAACCTTACCTGCCTTGATGCCGGCCCCACCACAAGGCATCCTCCTACATCGATGCCTCCAAGCAATGGTGAGCATGGAGCCTCGAAAGCCCGCGGACGGCAACCACTTCAGGACGCAGGGAACAGACTCCCCAGGGACCTGGGTACTGAAGCTCTCAATGTTTTGGAGGCCGTGCAACTGCTGAGGTTTCCAGCCCCACCCCTTAGTCTCAACAGAGAGAGGCTTGGAACTTCAGCTTGCAAGGGCTGGTAGGGCAGCAGTGACCAATGATGGTTTGCCTCCGGTAGTTGCATGTGATTGTCTAGTTGAAGAGCCGTTGAAACATTGCCAGGACTCGCATGTCTGCTAGCATGAGCGCTTTCGGCTTGGCTGCTCTGGAATGGTGGAGTCCAAGATGTGCAAATGATTGTTTGACTCTTTAACTGTGGTGGGACTAGCCGCCATTCCTGGACGATGGCTTTACAGCTTGCTCATGTTATCCTCATTTTTGGCTTTACATATCTAGGTGTAGTTCTGATCGTTGGTATATGTCCTTGCCTGGACTGGAGCCATGAACCAGGGGTGGCAGTTGTTTGGCCCTGCTTCGTGCGAGCGAAAGCCTCCAGACTGCAGAGTACAAGTGGACCTATCCATCAGATGCACATGCATTTTCTTCCCCAGGTCTTGGCAT